ATAACGGCCACACTGGCTTGATCGATGGAGTTGGCTTCAATATGATGATATAAACAAGGTCTTCTGTCGGCTCTGTACATCAACCCCGACCTATGCTGACAAGTAAGTGAAGAGTAGAAAATATAAAAGGTATATTCGCTATAGGGAAATGTCCCAGCAGTTTAGGATAATGAAGGTTCTAATCTAGGCTATTACATATTTCCAACTCGTAGGGATGTAACGATACCAAAAACTCACGGTACGATAATATCGCGATAAAAAGTCAAAAAATAAAGGGAAAAAACAGTGAATTTAAAAAGAATTTTTTTTTTTTCTTTATTAAATAATACATCTGATTTGTACAGCATTTTAGTAGGATAATAGCATTTTAAAGTTTCAACAATATAATAATCAGACCCTGCAATAGAATAAATCAAGTTTCACTTTAGTTTTTCAAGTAACTCAACTCTAACTCACTCAGCATCATCAAGGTTATCTTTTAGGAATATGAGCATGTCCACATTTCCAGGTGGAAGCTGGGATATTTGGGCGTTTACAATATCCCCTGCTGTGGAAAAAACTCTCTTGCTTGGTACTGATGTTGCTGGGACAGAGAGATATGCTTTGGCCATCTGTAACAGCAGTGGGTTAAACTGTGCATTGTCTCTCCACCACTTCAAAAACAATACGGTTTTTGCCAAGAAGGTGAGGCTTATTGACAGGGCGAGATATAAATATACTGTTGGTACTTGTCAATGTCTCTAGGTATGCACATGTAGCCCTGTAAATAGGATGTCCTTTTTTGTTATCTGTTGTTTTATGTTCATGTTGTAACCTACTTGTTGCCATGTTGGACAGGTCTCCCTTGAAAAAGAGATCGAAGATCTCAATGGGACCATCTGGTTGAATAAAGGTTTTTTTTAAAAAAATCTAAAAATATTCGATATATTGTTACATCCCTGGTGGTATGTCATCACAGTGTGTAATATAAAGGAAAGGAAATATAAAGAAAGTAGGATCACCCTGACTAAATATAACATGAAATACTTTATATTGCTGATTTCCTGCCAGCAGATAACTGATTACTCCATCTTTTATTTTTTAATGTTTGTTTTCAGGGATGGCTGCCGCTTCCTCCGCACCAAACCGGACATCATTACTGCCCTGTTTGCTCTGACCTCTGACCCCTCCATTGCTATTGCGAAAGACTGTTACTTCACCCTCATCAACCTGTCTGCTGACGAGACTCTGCACCAGGTGATCAGCAGAGCCCGGTCTAAATTCACCTATTAGTGATGAACTATTCACAAGTAGCTCAACTGTTTGATAAAAGAAACAATGTGTGCAGGATATAACAATGCACATAACTGAGCTGTGATATGTGTGGTCTGACAGGTGTGTGTTTCTGTTTGTGTCTCTCGCAGGTTTTGTTAACAGATATCAAAGTTCTTCAGGTGATGATGAAGAAGGTTCTGGATCCTGAGTTTGTGTTTTCAGATCAGATCTGCAGCATCCTGTCCAACCTGACCCGCCATCTGAAGACCTGCAAGATCATGTTCAAGGTTTGTTGATTCAACGTTTAAAATGTTCAAATCAGGGGAGCAATATTTTTTAAATGCAGAATATGTGTCAAAACATCAGTTAATGTGTCTATTGTTTTTGTTTTTATGGCTGGGTTTAAAACATCACAGCGCTATGAACTGTGGGTAGTTAAATCAGGCAAAGTCTGCGTAGATGGGGCTGTATGGAAAGTGTGTGTAAAGGGGTTTAAAATGTCCAAACAACACCCTCACATTTCACAGCTTTAAGGCCTCTTCGTCTGTTAGTGTGGACATTGTAAATGCACTTGTCATATTGCAGTGAGCTGTAGGGATGGGTACCGAAAACCAGTATTAAATGGGCCCCGGGGCTGAATTATTAAAGACCGTGGTACCGTTAAGCGCCGACGTTATCGGTCTTTTTATCGGTACTGGAGACATTTAAAAAATATGTCATATGTATTATTGCTACACAAACATTAAATTGCAGTTTTAGTGTCGCCAACTCCGTTTCCAATATGCAGAAATCTATGATTTATTTTTAGTATTTTCAATCTCTCCAATCCAGCCGATAGATCTCTCTTCCCCATCTGTGTACGAGGGGGCGGGGCAGTTTACACACACGCAGCTGCTACATGCAGCAAAAGTGCACCACATTCAGACGGAGAAATGCACCGTTTTCGACTGTCTTTCTAGTAGCGCTGTAGCCCCCCCATCCACGAGTAACGTTTCCACGTCAGGTATATTATGTATGCTAGCAGCAACATTAACATTTAGAGTTAACTCAATGATACAAACATGGGTTAATGATTAGAGGTAACTGAGTTATTTATTTTGTTAAAGTTTCAGCTATTCTGTTTACAGTTCTGTTATCAGATTATTTAATACGATTTGTTAAAAC